ACCATCGGAAAACACAGATATTTACAATACGATTCATAACAGTAGCAAAATTACAACGAAAATAATTTTATGGTTGGGGGTCACCACAGCATGAGGAACTGTATTAAAGGGTCACGGCATTAGAAAGGTTGAGAACCTAGGGGGAAGAGCCTTTGGAAAAAGATTAAGTCGTGAAAGTGGAGCCCTTAGGAACTAGATTAGACCAGCTGGCATGGTTCAGTGGTTGAGCGTCTACCTATGAACCAGGAAATGGGTCACATATGAAGAGGTACTTATGAACCAGGCCTCTCTCTCTCCTTTCCTTTCTGTAATGAATAAAAATATATTTTCTTTAAAAATGAAATTAATGTTTTTACAAAATAGGCCCCAAAAGAGCTCCCATGACCCCTTCTGCCATGTGAGGACAAAATGAAAAGTCTGTGACCATGGAGAAAACCATCACCTGACCATGCTGGTACTCTGACCTCAGACTTCCAGCCTCCAGGACTGTAGGAAATAATTTCTGTCGTTTATCAGTTATCCAGTCTGTAGTATTTTGTTATAATGTTTGTTATAAAGTGGATGTTTCTATCTCTCTTTTCCTCTCGATCCACAGCAGGCTTGGACAACATCTTCTCCTACTGGGGTGGCGTGGCTCAGTGGTTGAGCATTGACCTATGAACCAGAAGGTCACAGTTCGATTCCTGGTCAGGGCACATGCCTGGGTTGTGGGCTCGATCCCCAGTGTGTGGCGTGCAGGAGGCAGCTGATCAATTATTCTCTCTCATCATTGATGTTTCTCTCTCTCCCCACCTCCCTTCCTTTCTAAAAGAAATAAAAAACATATTTTAAAAACAATCTTCCTCCTGAATATTCTATGACCTGGCACAGAGACCTCTGTGTTGAGGCCGTGAAAAGGGGGGTAGAGGTAACCACACACAAAGCCAAGTGTGTATCCCTCAAAGGTTACAGAGCAAACAGAAGCAGGTGATGTGCGGTTAGAAGAGTGCAGAGGGGACCTTGGAAAGTCTTAGATAAGAATATGCAGTTTTTGCCTTAGCCAGTTTGGCTCAGTGGATAGAGCATCAGCCTGGGAACTGAAGGGTCCCAGGTTCGATTATGGTCAAGGGCACATGCCTGGGTTGTGGGCTTGATCCCCAGTGGGGGATTTTCAGTAGGCAGTCAATCCATGATTCTCTCTCATTGTGGATGTTTCTTTCTTCTTCCCTCCCTCCCTCCTCCTTACTCTCTGAAATCAATAAAATTAAAAAAAAAAAAAAATGCCGATTTTTATGTGTCCCTTAGCTTGTACTTACTAGACCAGCATTTTGGGCTGCAGAGAAAGGGAGTAAGAGGTACAAGTTGAGGGGGAAAGTAAGAGAGGCATTTGTAATTCGTCAAGATGAGTGAAATACTATATACCTTGTTCACAAACTCACTCTAGGAAGAGCCCTCAGCAGTGCTAGAGATAGACAATTACGATTGATAATACAGTAAAACCTCAATATAATGGACTAATTCAAGCAAGGGGGAGGGGGTGTCTGTTAAAGTCTATTATATAACAAGACTTGTTAAAAAAAATTGATAAATTAGTTTTTACTTACGTAGATATCTCTGTATAATTAGTGTTAAGTATATATGAAAAGTTAAATTTCACAGAAAAGTTTCTCTATGCATTACTGTAATTTTAAATTTATACTGAATAGGTCTAATAAATGCGTGCGCTCACCAGTCACCTTGAGTGAACAATGCACATGACGGGGGCTTGGTTTAGTGCACATCAGAATATCGCCAACATGAGTCAAAACTCCTGCAGAAAGTCACCCCAAGAGACAACAGAACCGATTACCTTGGGGCAATGCAGTGTGATCATGTGCTAACCATTCACCAGACACTGCTTGCAAGCAATGGCTCTTGGATTTAAATATGTAGACTACAGCAGTAAATATGTAATATTCAAGTCAGTGCAACTACTGCAGTGTTTTTTACAACATATGGCCTATATGCTAAAATTAATTCAAAGTAACTGAATAACAAAAAAATTACTTATTAATATAATAATCAAATCTTAAACACATTTTAAAATCACCAGGGTGTTAATTTTCAAATACAAACTGGAAATTTTTTAAATTAAATATATTTTTATTGGTTTCAGAGAGGAAAGGAGAGGGAGAGATACAAACATCAATGATGACAGAGAATCATTGATCAGCTGCCTCCTGCACATCCCCTACTAGGGATTGAGCCGGCAACCTGGGCATGTACCCTTGCTGGAATTGAACCCAGGACTCTTCCATTCACAGGCTAATGCTTTATCCACTGAGCCAAACTGGCTATGTCATTTTTGTCCATTAAATCCAAAGCCCAGTAAGTCAAGATCAGAAAAATTAAGGATTCACTGTATCAACATTCTTATATTCTAATCTTACTCAACATGAGTGATCTTTCAAAATGCAAATCTGCCTTCCCTCTGTACAAAGTCCTATATAAACTAATGGCTTAGGATAAAATACAAATTCCCTTGGCTAATAAATCCCTGCAGCAATCTGCCCCCTACCTCAATCTCAGCCTCCAATCTAGGCTCCTTGCTCCACCATACCACATCAAGGACAGTCTCATAACTCCTCAAAACTCCCAACAGACTGTGCTCCTCAGAAGCCATTTCATGGCTCCAAGACCCAACAGAGTGTATGGCACACAATAACCCTCAAATGCTTCTTGACCGAAAGCCAGGCACTGGTAAACCCAGACTTCTGGACAGGCCTGGACTAGTCATTGCTCCATGGTTAACCATTAAACCGATTTTGGCAAAATAAGACCCTTTAGGACTAAATGAGAGAAAGGTGGGTCCATACCAGGATGAGACCCACCTGGCTTAGAGGCCACCAGAGATGTAGCAAACCTCAAAGACTAATAAGCAAGGTTAACTTTTCTGCCCCTCCTAACACCAGGCTTCCCTCTCTCTGTAATTGCCATGGAAGTTAAATTTAATCCACTGAGATACATATAGATATATTTTCTTTGGTTAATTCTCACCTGAGGATATTATTTTCAATGATTTTTAGAGAGAATGGAAGGGGGGGAGAAAAAGAGAAACACTGATCTGTGAGACACATCAACTGGTTGCCTCCTGCACGGAGCCCCGGCCAGGGTTGGAAATCAAATCTGCAACCCAGGTACCTGCCCTTAACCAGGAATTGAACACAAGACCCTTTGGCATGCAGTTCTATCATTGAGTCACATCAGTGAGGGCTAATCAATTGATACTATTTTGTTGTACTAAATCCACAGAAATTACATCAAGAAGAATTAATGACAAGATTAATTTGTATGCACAAATCCCCATGTTTACCTTATTTACAATAAATCATATTTAGCATTTTTTTTTCCTTTATCTTCACCCAAGGACATTTTTTCCATTGATTTTTAGAGACTGGAAGGCAGAGGAGCGGGGAGAGTGGAAACACCCATGTCAGTAAGAGACACATCGATTGGTTGCCTCCCAAAAGCCCCTGACCAGGGCCCGGGAGCCTGCAACTAAGTACAAGCCCTTGTGCCGGAATCTAAACAGGAACCCTTCAGTGGCCAATGCCATATCCACTTGCCACTGGCGTATATTCAGTGTTCTTATGCCAAAGACAAAGCTTTTAAATTCACCATTAAATTTTGTAAAAGATTCACATGAACATATATAGTTCTGTGAGGTCCATACTGAAAACACCTGGCTTGGAGCACTTAGCACAAGAGTTCTCCAGGATAAACAGCCAAATACTACAGCCTCATTGCTCGGTTCCACATAAAAAAAACCATTGAACAGGCTTAAAGACAAACCCACTTTTCTTGGGGCCTTGTTTGTATTGCTTTTGCAAAATAACTCTTTTCTAGAGACAGCCTCCCCCCCCCCCCCAATTAAAGACTTTTTCTCCTCTCTTCCACACGCACACCTCCTCACCTTTCAAAGGTGCTCCAAAACCTAAAATGCAATCTCTAACGGGGCAGTGATCTTTGTTTTTGTTACTGACATAAGCTAGACCCTCAATAAATATTTGTTCAAAACCTGATTGAGTAAGTGGATGAAGCTTACTTACACAGTATGGCTGGCGTTATTAGCTAGTGCTCGCTCTACTATAATGAGGAAACAGCGAACAAGAGACTGAGCTGTATTTGCTTCTATTTCAAACAGACTCATGTTCAACTTTCAGACACACACACACACACATACAAAAAGCGGGTAAAATCTTATTACCCCTTTCAAAAAACAAAAACAAAAAAAACACGTTAATATAAAATGAATGAGCAGGCGTAAACCTCCTCTATGAAGCACTTCTTAGTCCCCTTGTAAATACTCAAAATCCCACCTGAGTGTTCCCATCGGGGAACTAAGTGTGTAAACCTATAAAACAACCCTTGCCCCACCAACCAGAACTCCAACATTCTGGAAACCATAACTTCAGTGAAAAACCACACCAAACCCAAACTCTCATCCCCTGGTTCGGATTCAGAGTGGTCCAAAGTACAAGGACACAACTCCTAAACTTACACAACTAACATACATACATACATACATACATACATACATACACACATACGTGCCTCCGGAGCAGGCAATCCACATTCTACCGCAGTGCTGCTCCCACCGCGAAGCATATTACAATGACCCGAGGAGCATTTGAAACTGTGCAAAAACACAGACCACACCACCCACCACTCTGGCCTAATTAAATAAATCGGGGTGGGTGGGAGGCAGGCCCAGGTGTTTGAAAGCTTCCCGAGTAGCCCCAAGTGCCTCCAAGTTTGGAAAACTACCTTTACAGGGAACAAATTGAGGCCACCTCCCTGGGCAGCTGCTTGCTTGCTCTTCAGTGTTTGCACAAAGACGACCTCTGGGAAGAACCCCGAGATCTTAAAGGACACGATCTTTTTTTTCTTTTTCTTTTTTTTTTTAAGTCTCCCTCCACCAAAATCCCCCATTCCCCAACATCCCGAGCCACGTGGAAGGGGCTTCGCGGGTATCTACCTACCTTAAGGCCACAGGTTTCCTCCTCTAGAGAAGCCATTTCCTCTAGAGAGGGGCTGGCGGGGCGCGGAGGGGAGCCCCCTGACGGAAGGAAGGCCTCACGTGCGCTCCGAGTCAGGCAGCCTTCGGAGGCGGCCCCGTCCGCCACACCTGGGCCGGAGGACTGGGAGGAGGAGGAGGAGGAGGAGGAAGAAGAGGAGGAGGAAGAAGAGGAAGAAGAGGAGGAGGAGGAAGAGGAGGAATTTCTGCGGCGGGCTGAGTCCCAGGGCAGCTCCGGCGGCGGGCAGGCCACATCGTCCTCCTCCTGGGCTCTCAGGCGCTTGGGGCTGCGGGCCCCTGGGGAACGCGACGCGGAGCTCGGGGCCGGCCGCCGGGGGGAGGGGGCCACATCACCGGCCTCCCGGAGGCAGCTGCGCTTGCGGGAACCCCGGTCCGTAGAGCCGCTCCTGTGGTACTTGACCTTGCGCCGCTCCGACGCCATGGGCACCTGGCAAAGCAGAGAGAGACCGGAGCTTCCAACACCACCCCCTCCCGGCCGCCCCTCCTCGGACTCCCGCCGCCGCCGCCGCCGCCGCCATCCCGGGCCCACGCGGCCCAGGGCGAGCCCGGAAAAAGTCAGAGCCAGGAAAGCAGCCTTACTGACCTTTCCCCCTTCCTTCCACTGCCCATCACAGTCCTCGGGGTTCCGGGGATGCCAAAGCGCTTCGGAGAGGCCAAGCCGCTGCAAGGTTTTCTTAAAAAGGCTCCGGGGCGGCTTCCAAGCCCGCGCAACGTGTTGTTTCCGCGATCGCCCAACGCTTCGGTTAGCACAACCGAGAGCTTCCGGGACTCCTCGGCGCCCGGATTTTCGTTTGCAGCAGAAAGCCCTTCCGAGGTGTCCAGGCGCTTCACAGCCGACGGGCGCTTTCAGGTCTACACATGGCGGCCGGACCCGCGGCCCTTGGGAAGGAGGGCGGCCTCGCGAGGCCCGGAACGCCGACGGCGGGCCGCAGGGCAGGGCCGGACCGGCGCGCAGCCCCCGCCCCGCTCCCGCGGCCCCGCCCGGCCCAGAAGGGGCCCGAGCCGCCCGGGTCCGCCGCTTTCGAAACAACCCCCGCCGACTCGACCGGCCGCCCCTTCCGTCCCTGTGCGGCGCGCGCGGCCCAGACGTCGGCCCGCTGCCGCCACGGCCCGGACGTCCCGCCCGCTCGCCGCCCGCCCTCACGCTGCGGCCTCCGCCCGCGATCCGAATCCAAGGGCCTGCGCTGCGCCCGCCTCCCGGAACGAGCCCTGCGGCCCGCGGCCCGGCGTGCGGCAGGGCGGGGCCTGCGCCGCTCTGAGGGCGCCTATTGCTCCCATCCGCGAGGGGCGGGACTCCGAGCAAGACGGAGCTCTCCTGTTGGTCAGGAGGCTGGGAGGCGGGACCCTGCGCCTTATAAGACTCGTCCATTGGTCGGAAGAGAGGTGGGGCGGAGCCACTCACGTGGCTCAGAGGACCGCGAAGTTGAAGCGGGGCGGCGCGGTGCCTGGGGCCGCCCTCTCGGGAGGTAGGGGGCGGCCGCGGACCGGGATTCCGGAGAGCCGCTCCCCGCGGGCGCCCTACGCTTTCCGATCCGGATACGCTCACAAAACCTACATCATCATCGTCACCCCATCCACGTACAGCGCAGCAAACGGGCTCAGAGAGACCTAGGGACCCACCCAGAAAGTAGCAGAACCAGACGTTAGAAGCCAAGGGGGGAAAATGAGACCATGCAAATGTAAAATATCCGCTTGGCAAAAAATTCCAAAGTCGAAAGACAAAAAAAAAATAGTTGGAAACATGTGACAAAGGTCTGATGGCCTTATTATGTAAAACCTATAGCAATAAGAGAATGCGTATTAAAATGGACAAAGGGCCGAAACCGGCCTGCGGACTTGAAGGATCCCAGGTTCGATTTCGGTCAAGGGCATGTACCTTGGTTGCGGGCACATCTCCAATGGGGAGTGTGCAAGAGGCAGCTAATCGATGTTTCTCTCTATCCCTCTCTCATTCTCTCTGTAAAAAATAAATAAAATATATTTTTTTAAAAAATGGACAAAGGAATGAACATCAATTACAAAAGCCTCTCTAACAAAATATTTTTAATAGATCTACTTGTCATTTAAAAAGTACAAATAAAATTGTTTTCCCATTAGATTGGCAGTGATCAAAAAGCATAATATTGCCCTGGCTGGTTAGAGCTTCGTCTGGATATACCAAGGTTGTGGATTCAATCTCCAGTCGGGTCACATACAAGAGTCAACCAATGAATGCATCACTAAAGGGTACAACAAATCCATGTCTCAGTTTCTCTCTTCCTCTTTCTCTCCAGTCAATAAATACATATTTTTTAAAAGCATAAGATTCTTTGCAACTAAGATTGTGGGGAAATGCTACCCCATGGGTCACATTTAATGATGGACATTTAAATTGGTACGAAGGCATAAGTATTTGTAGTGCAAGAATGAAAACCAGCGGAAACCGGTTTAGTTCAGTGGATAGAGCATCAGCTTGCAGACTGAAGGGTCCCAGGTTCGATTCCGGTCAAGGGCATGTACCTTAGTTGCAGACATATCCCCAGTAGGGAGTGTGCAAGAGGCAGCTGATTGATGATTCTTTCTCATTGATGTTTCTAATCTCTATTCCTCTCTCTTCCTCTCTGCAAAAAATCAATAAAATATATATTTTTTAAATTAAAAAAAAGAATGAAAACCACCTCAGTATGCAGCAAGCAAAGCTAGTTATATAAAGTGCAGACTATCCATACAATGGACTATCGGGCAAAAAGAATGAAGTGACCCAAATGTACTGTTGAGAAAGAATGGCCAAAAAATGACATGAAAAAACATAGGATCCAGAGCAGTGTGAATGAAATAACCTGTATAAAGCAAAAAATAATTTAAAAAGAGAGAGGAGTGGAACCTCAAGGATTTTTTTTAATGCCTAAAATTGATCATTGTGTATTTGTGTGTTTCTAACAGTTTTATTGAGATATAATTTACATACCATAAAGTTCACCTATATATAGTTTGGTAGGGGTTTTTAACATATTTTTTAGGATAGAGTTGTGCAACCATCACCATAACTATAATCTACTGTTAGAAGAGTTTCATCACCTCCAAATCTTGTGACCATTACTACTTCCCTTCTCAACCTTCCCCAACCCCACTCCTAGTTTCTGTCTCTGTAGATTTGCCTATTCTGGACAGTTCATAAAAATGGAATAATATATTTTACTTAGCAAAATCATTTCAAGGTTCATCCATGTTGTAGCATGTATCAGTACTTCATTCTTTTTTATGGATAAGTTTCAATAAAATAAATTTTATTAATAATCTTCCAATGCATGGATATAGCACATTCATTTATCAATTCATCTGTTGATGAACATTTGGGTTGTTTCTACTTTCTGCTATTCTGAATATTGCTGTGAATACTGGTGCACAAAAACATATGTTCAGCTTTTGTTTTTATTCCTTTTAGGTAGCTATCTACCATGGAATTGCTGCGACATATGGAAACTACTATGTTTAACATTTTGCAGCTGAGGATGTGGGGGAAAGCAGCTCACCATTTTACAATTCCAGCACCAAAGTATGAGGGTTCTAATTCCTCCACATTCTTTTTTTTTTAATCATTTTAAATTTTTTTAAACATTTTTTTTAAAATATATTTTATTGATTTTTTACAGAGAGGTAGGGAGAGAGATAGAGAGCCAGAAACATCGATGAGAGAGAAACATCAACCAGCTGCCTCCTGCACCCCCCCCCACGGGGGATGTGCCCGCAACCAACGTACATGCCCTTGACCGGAATCGAACCCGGGACCTTTCAGTCCGCAGACCGACGCTCTACCACCGAGCCAAACCGGTTTCGGCAAATTTTTAAACATTTTTATCGATTTCAGAGAGAGGGGGAGAAAAATGAAAACACTGATGAGTGAGAAAGATCATTGATTGGCTGCCTCCTACACATTCCCTACTGGGGGATCAAGCCCCAACCCTGGCAAATGCCTTGACCTCCTGGTTCATAGATAGATACTCAACCACTGAGCCACACTGGATGGATATTTCTCCACATTTTTTTTTAAATATATCTTATTGATTTTTTACAGAGAGGAAGGGAGCAGGAAAGTTAGAAACATCAATGAGAAACATTGATCAGCTGCCTCCAGAACACCCCCACTGGAGATATGCCCGCAACCTCAATACATGCCCTTGACTGGAATCGAACCGGGTACCCTTCAGTCCGCAGGCCGACACTCTATCCACTGAGCCAAACTGGTCAGGGCTCTCCACATTCTTATCAACACTTTATTGTCTGTCTGTTTTATTTATTTATTTATTTATTTATTTATTTATTTATTTGTCTGTTTTTATTATGGCCATCCTAAGTGTGAAGAGGTATCTCATTGTGTTTTTTTTTTTTTTTACATTTCCCTAATGACTAATGCTTATCTTAGTTCAGTCATCAATTCAAATGGAGACTGCAGCCAAGAAATGAAGAAAATGCTGAGACTCAAAAGTTCAGGAATGGGAGACTTAGGAAAGGTCACCAGGAGCTAAGATGTGTCATTCGAAACCAAAGCTAAAATCATCCCCACCCTTGTATTTCCAATTAGCAGGTATGGATGCAAAAGTCGGACAGTGAAGAAGGCAAATAAGGAAGAAAACAAAGTAGTTAATTCGAAGTATGATTTTGGAGGAAAGCTGTAGGAATACCCTGGACTACCCATGAAAACCAGGGTTCCTTGGAAAAGACAACAATGTTGAGAAAAGTAGAAAGCAGCAGGAAGACAGGAAGGCTAAATATGAGATGGGTTGACTCACTAAAAGGAGCCACAGACATGAGTCTACAAGAACCAAGCAGGGCTGTTGAGGGCAGGACATTGTGAACATCACTCATTCGTAGAATTGCCAGGAGGCAGAGCCAACTCAACAGCACATAAAACACACAGTGACTAAGGAAGTCCACTAACAAGATAGAAAGGTTTTTTTAAATCATCTCTGGAACGAGTAATAAGTTAGTAACGGAGTTTGCCTTTGGGGAGAAGAAATGAGAGACTAAGTTCCCAGTGGTTAAACGGCTTCCCTTCCACCAGGTGACTTTGTGTACGGTTTGGATTTTTTTAATCATATTCATCTTTTAAAATGTCAGGCCAAATTCCATGGGGATTTGTGGAAAGGCATTGTGTTGCCCAAGAACCCCTGGAATTACTACATATAATTAATACACATAATTAATCATATATGTGTATGTCTTTACTGCTTGCTAAAGGGAGGTCTGCCGCTTTAATGAGATTCTCAATGAATGTCTCCAGAAGCCCGAGTCTAGAAATGCAAGTATGTCTGGGTAACCAGTGCCCTCTTAGCACCTGCCCTCTGTTGCTCAGAGCCCTTTGAATACCCTGCTCCTAACTGTAAGGTGCTTTCCACATGCCACCAGAGCTGAAGACGGGGGTGTTCGTACAGATCACTGTCCACCTGGGCTGGAGCCCACCTGGCTGTTTACATATCAGTACAAAGCTGACATTGAAAGGTCCCAGGTTCAATTCCAGTCAACGACATGTACATTGGTTGCGGGCACATCCCCGGTAGGGGGTGTGCAAGAGGCAGCTGGTCGATGTTTCTCTCTCATCAATGTTTCTATCTATTCTTTTCCCTTCCTCTCTGTAAAAAAATCAATAAAAATATATTTTATTGGTCGAAATCGGTTTGGCTCAGTGGTAGAGCGTCGGTCTGCGGACTGAAGGGTCCCAGGTTCGATTCTGGTCAAGGGCATGTACCTGGGTTTCGGGCACATCACCAGTAGGGGGTGTGCCAGAGGCAGCTGGTCGATGTTTCTCTCTCATCAACGTTTCTAACTCTCTATCCCTCTCTCTTCCTCTCTGTAAAAAATCAATAAAATATATTTTTAAATATATATATATTTATATTATTGATTAAAATATATATTTTATCAATAAAAAATAAAATATATTTTATTGATAAAATATATTTTTTTAATATATCTTATTGATTTTTTACAGAGAGGAAGGGAGAGAGATAGAGAGTTAGAAACATCGATGAGAGAGTCATCGATCAGCTGCCTCTTGCACACCCCCTACTGGGGATATGCCTGCAACCAAGGTACATGCCCTTGACCGAAATTGAACGTAGGATCCTTCAGTCCCCAAGCCGATGCTCTATCCATTGAGCCAAACCGGTTTCGGCTATAAAATGTATTTTTATCAATAAAAAATAAAATATATTTTATTGATAAAATGTATTTTTATCAATAAAAAAATAAAATATATCTTATTGATTTTTTTTCAGAGAGGAAGGGAGAGGGATAGATAGAAACATTGATGAGAGAGAAACATCGACCAGCTGCCTCTTGCACACCCCCTACCGGGGATGTGCCTGCAACCAATGTACATGCTGTTGACTGGAATCGAACCTGGGACCTTTCAGTCCGACGCTCTATCCACTGAGCCAAACCGGTCTTGGCAAAACAGGTACTTTTTATTCTCCCCCTGGAATAGATGAAACAGAGGCTCAAAGTAACGCCCTAACTTAGCCCAAGATGACACAACTATTGACAGCCAGCATTACAGCAAGCACCCAATCTCTTAGCTATCCCACGATACCCGGGCTTCTCCAAATTCATCTGGACACAAAACTAATGACAAGATAATGGTTGACTTTATCAATGTATATTTATTTTATAAAAATAAAAGGGGAAAAATCACGATAGCAGGATTATTTAAAATAGGGCACACTGGATATAAAAAAAGCATTTGCTTCACACAAAAATCTGCAACAGGATTTTTCAGAAATATACCCATTGCACAAACATGGGGTACATGCAGAAATAGATGTTTAATGTCTTTATTTTATAAAACAGGACAAGTGCATTTTCAAAGTACTTCTGTAGCTATGTCTGACCTATTCTTCCCAACAGCCCAAGGGAGGGAGAACGAACAGGTATTACTGACAAGGAAACTGAGGTTCCAGAAATGACACGATTGACGTAATTAGCAGCAGAATCAGAATGAAACCAGTTCTTCTGATTGTTTCATCCAGCTATAAATAACACACATTTTCAAAATAAAAGCTCCATTAGAAATGTTAGCATTAGTGGGACAGGAGGGTAAAGGTGTAGACAGACATTAAATAAATGTATGTGGGTTGCAAGACTTACAAAAAAGAAAGCAGAAAACCCACGGAGCCCTTTGTCAGGTGTCTGGCCTTTGTCACACCCGAGACCTTGAGACACGAGTCAAGAACTGCCTTGGGACACAAGGTGGACATCTCTCCGGGCACGGAGGTTTGCAGGCGGCCGTCGGCAGATAGGGCCCAGAGGTTAAACTCTGGAAAGTGTCTTCAGCGTTCAGAACGCTCTGTCAGGTGCTGAGGGGGGAGAACAGGGTAACGGCATCTGCTGGGGCACTGACGTCAGAACCACGAACCTGCCCACATCCTGGGCCCACGGACGGGGTTTGTGCTTTCCTCTCCTGATGAAACAGATCCCGGAGGGAAGGGGACTCCGTGGGTGCTGCTTTCTCTGGAAGCTGCGGTCCCGTCTCCCCTCACTCGCTCCGGACAGTGCAGGCTTCCTTCCCCCCAGGTTGGCTGGGGTTTGGTTTGTAGCCCCTGGGAGACCTTGGATTTCGCCCCAGATCTTTTTTCTTGATTCGACAGTTGTCTTTCCAAGAGAGGACGAGGGTCCTCGGCTGTGTTCCGGTGATCAGGGGCCAAAAAGCTCAATGCTGTCCAGTTTCTCCTCCTTGTAGAGCAGGATGTTCTCCATCAGCTTCCTTTTGGCCTCATTGATCTCGATTTTCCACGAAGTCTCTGTGGTTGATGTTCAAAAGAGAGTGTGTTTTTTTTTTTTTTTTTTTTTTTAAAAAAAGCCATTTGCACAACACGCATTTGGAAATAGGTATTACTATCCTAATTCTTAGAAAGCTAGATTTGGTCACAGTTTCTCACTTAACTCGGGTTTCTGAATCTGAGTGTGTGAGTATTCTCATCGTCTCAGCCTTTGCAGGAAAGCCCTGCCACCTGTCCCCACTTTCAGAGAAGAGGGAGCTCATGTGTTCCTCCCCGCTGGGGAAGCAGGGGGGGGGGGGGGTGGAGGGGGAGACAGTGAACACTTACACCCTCTCTTCTGCCTCTCTCTTCCACAAGGGGGAGGAGCAATAGGAATGGTCAGGCCTGGGATGTTCATTGAGCTGTGTTTACTAGGGGACAAGGCACTGAAGGCTTTCCAAGCTTACTTTCAGAAGGAAGCCCCGTGTATCTGGATAGAAGCAGAGGGCGAGGATGGGTTCATATTATGAAGCGAGGATGGAGAAGCGGGCAGGGACAAACCACACAGGGCCTTGCTGGTCTGGAGGAAGAGTTTCGACTTGGTCCCTAAGGGCAATGGGGAGTTACACCCTGGCTTCAACAAGAAGTGACATGAGTTGCTTTTAAAAGCCACTCTGGTTGGCTCCTGGAAAAAGGACCGGTGAGGGGCCAGGGCGGGTCAGGGAGGACAAGGGAAGGCGTGCAGCCATCTAGCAGGAGGACAGGAGCTTACGTGAGTTAGGCCAGTGGTCAGCAAGCTCATTAGTCAGCAGAGCCAAATATCAACAGTGCAACAACTGAAATGTCTTTTGAGAGCCACATTTTTTAAACTTAAACTTCTTCTAATGCCACTTCCTCAAAATAGACTCGCCCAGGCCGTGGTATTTTGTGGAAGAGCCACACTCAAGGGGCCAAAGAGCCACATGTAGCTCGAGAGCAGCAGTTTACCAACCACGGAGTTAGGGGGATGGGTGCAAAGTAAAGAAGCAGATGGACCGAGAGACATTTAGGTCCATGGCTAGGACTCGGTGATGGACGCCATTGGGGGACGGAGAGAACAGAGGTTTATCTTGGTGCAGTCAGATGGTAGGTAGGTGAATGGCTGAGTAACTAAATGAACGTGTGAATAAGGGAGATGGGAGGAATAGATGATGGGCTGAGTCGGGGATACATAAATGTGTATAAGCATTCAGATCCCTACACACTTACCAGCCTGGGGAGGCTCTGGACTGGTACAGGCGTCAGAGGAGGAGTCAGCCCGCATTCCCCTGCTGGCCGGCACCCTGCCTTCTCCGTCCTCTGCGGGGGCAGGCGAAGCAGAAACCCCAGACCGGGGTGCTGCCCTCAAGGAGGAGGCGGCATCGAGGCTAGAATTGTCTACGTCGTCCGTCTCTTCTGGAATGTTGGAGGAAGCGCCTGTGCTCTCGGAAAGCCCACCACAAGGGAGCGACGTCTCCTGACCTCTGAGCCGCTCTTCCACAGCAGCCACAGAGCCACACACCTTGGGGAGGAGAGAGACAAGAACACTCACCAAGAATTCTTTCTGAAATAAAACAAAGCTAACAGACCTCTCAGGCCTCAGAGGAAAAAGACACTGAAGAATCAAATGCTTGCTGCTTTGGCCTGGAAGAACAGCGTCCTTCTTTTGAAAAGAGCTGAACTTGCCCCAATCTACCCTAGCTCTAGATAAGACCACATGACCAGAGTGAACCAATCACAGTATCCCATTCCTCTAACCTTAATGATTGGTTCAGGTTTGGGCATGTGACTAATGCAGGCCAATCAAAATCCTTCTCTGGGATTTTTTTTCCCACCTAAAGCTTTCTAGTGACATAGCCAGATGTTCAATCATGCACAGAAAATCCATTTATAATAGGTGAAAATGAAGCCCTACCACAGAGTAAATAAAGCAGAGACAAAAGGTAGAGAGAAGGCCTCACAGGCACTGACACAGATAGATGCACATTTTCTGGCGAGACCCTGATTCTAGCTACCCCTGCAGCTGCCTGTCCTATCTGCTGTTTGGTTAAATGAGCTAATAAATATGTTCATTCATTCATTGTTCACATCACCGCCATCTCCCCCACCCCCCTCTCTCTCTTTCATGTTTCTAAGAGTTTGAGTTGAGTTTCTATCACTTTCAACTAGAAATGCCCAAAATAATATAGATACTGTCCTTGAGAGCTCTTCTGGTGAGGGAAGTTAGGAAACTTAGAGAAAGGCAGGGAAGGAACGTTTCTTCTTTACACACAAACTCACACAACGAGCCTAAAGCATACATACCCTCAACAGCCCTAACCAATCTCCTTCGCTCGGTCCCTTACAATTTGCAAAGCACATTTGACACATGATGCCCAATGAGGTTTTTATAGATAAAAAAATGAAAAGATCAGAGGTTAAATTCCCTGCCTAAGGCCACCCAGCTAGCTAGAGCTGACCACTGAGCCCAGTCCTGTTTGTCTTAAAGTCCGTGACCCACCTGATCTCTCATCTTCCTAACACCTAAAGTGCTCTGCCCCTTTATTCTCCATAGCAAATGCCTCCTCAACCTGCAAGGCCCAGTTCAAATGTCACCCCTTGAGGTAAATCTTTAGAGTATATATATATGCCCAATAAATACCTGCCACACGAAAAACTACCCTCCTCTGTAGCTAGGTGCGGCCATGTAACGAGGCTCTAGCCTACGCAGTGCGAGAGAGAGTGACGTGTGCATTTCCAGGCCACACCTTTAAAAGGAAGGGGATGTGTTCTCCTCTTCCTTTTAACCCCTTTCAGTTGCTGGCAGCTGTGATGACCTGAGCTAGAGCAGCCATCTTGGTCTCTGAAACAGAAGCCACACAGTAAGGACAGCAGAGCAACAATATATCGATAGGAGCCCCAACACTGTGGCACTGTGGCCACGTCAGCTCTGGACTGCCTACATCCACACTGGTAAGCTAAAGAGAAGAATCTTCTATCTCCAAACGACTGTATTTTTGGAGTCTCCTCATGACAGCAGTTTCTTTAAGCACCTTAACTAATACACTGAACAAAAAAAATAAAACTAATGGAAGGCTGAATGAAAGAAGAAACGGTTGAGGAGAAAAATCTTTTTAGCACGTAAATATTATTATGCCCTGTCCCTGCTTAAGCCCATAGTGACTTCCTCAAAAGCCTGACTGTGCTTGCACAACCTCTATTATTGGCCACTCCTTCTTCAGCAGACTCATCACGAGCCACTTTGCCCCAAGTACTTTGTGTTCCAGACTCTCTGACCTTCTTCTCTCTTGACCCTGCCAAGCTCTCTCCCGGCTCACGCTATTTGCATGAGCCGTTAGTGCTGCTGGGACAGCTCTTCACCGGCTTACACTTCCGAGGGAAAGTCCTCTTTGGCGGGGCCCCTGTCAAACACTATCCCAGGCTCACCACACAGTCAGTTACTGTGCAATGTCTGTGAGCTCCAGAAAGTAGAACTGGCCTTGTTCACTGATATACCTGCCCCCAGGGCCCAGCACACAACTGCGGGATGCATGACTGAGCACTGTGGCATGAGAGCACAGGAGAATAGCTCAGGCGTACAACAATGACTCGGGTTTCTAGTTCCTGCCGCATCATGGTGCGACACGATGGACATGGGGCTGAGCCAGGAGTCCGGAGAGCTCTGACAGAAACTTACTCTGCGGCCTCCCCATCTCCTCTCCCTGGGCCTCTGCGTCCCCATCTATAAAACGGGAGGCTTGGGCTATGGCAGTTGTGTTGGATGAAGACTTTGGTCAGCGATCGCAAACCCTATATAATGATGAGACGTTAAGGTGGTGTCTGATTGAAGCCACAGGTGGGGCCTACAGCTCCCCACAGTCCTCTTGCTGCCAACAGCAACGCCCTTCTCTGCCAGAAACCACTTGAACAATCACTCGGCTAGATTATCTCTAAGCCCTCTCAGGCAGTAATTTTGACCTTAGAGAGACCAGGCAGCAGTGTCCAAATTTATACCTGTTACCATGGAAACCACCTTTCCATCGCCTATCCATAAGAAAATGTTTTCCCTCCTGCGGTGGTGGATTTCTGGGGTGTCTGCCTAGCCCACAAGCTAGAAATGCTCCCTTTCTCCAGGGCCTGGCCCCTTATCCTTTCAGGGACTGACCTCCCCTGACCACCAGGTTTATATGCTGGACCCTATGCCCCTCATCTTACCTGACTGGCCAAGGGGGCCAGCCCGACTCTAGCTAGGCCAATCAAGTTCTCTCTCTGAGATGCTGGAATGTGGGCCTGGAGACTTGGTCTCTCCATGGGGCAGAACTATAACATATAAGTGAATATGGCCACATCTCCTAACCAAGAAAATAAAAATAAAAAAAAAATAAGAGCGCCCAAACCGGTTTGACTCAATGGATAGAGCGTCGGCCTACAGACTGAAGGGTTGCGGGTTCGATTCCGGTCAAGGGCATGTACCTTGGTTGTGGGTACATCCCCAGTAGGGGGTGTGCAAGAAGCAGCTGATCGATGATTCTCTCTCATCGATGTTTCTAACTCTCTATCTCTCTCTCTTCCTCTCTGTAAAAATCAATAAAATATATATTTTTTTAAAAAAATAAAAATAAAAAATAAAAGAGAGAGAGAAGAGGAGGAATAGGGCAGGTTCAGCAAAAGCCCCCAAGTTCTGTTAATAACCAAGGGTGTGGCCCTGGGCCCCTCAGGCCAGCGGCCCGTGGCCCTCAGGCTCGTAAGACACCCTTATCCACATACTGCCCTGTTTTGCTGATGTAAGTTCCAACACGTTTTGCTACTTCCACCCAAATACAGCCCTGGAATTACTACACATAACTAATACACATAATTAATAATCTTCAAATATTAGCCCGAGCTATTTTACTGGATGATCCCAACATCTCAGTGAAGGGATCAACCCCGAATCTTAGCCTAGTCCCTGAGAAAGCAAACCTGTGCAGCCTGGGAAGAGAGACCCGCTGGGCCAGGATGGAGCTCCTGGCTGGGGAAAGGCCGAGAATCAGGCTCACCTCGGCCAGGCTGGCATTCCGCCTCCGCAGGCAGAGGCAGGCGGCCGAGGCCAGCGCGGCCGCACAGTCTTCGGGCAGAGCCCCTGCTCTCCTCTCCAGGTATTTCTGGCAGATCTCCTTCGCCATCACCTTCTCCACGCCCGTCCTCCTGCTGCTGCTCGGAATTTCGTGGAGGAGTAAGTCCTTCTGTGGGAAGAACAGTGGACACACCCCTGAGTGAGCTTCAGGGCTGTGGGATCCAGGCCTCCCTCACCTCCACGACTGGACCAGAGCTGCAAAAACTTCTCAGAAAACCAATAGGAATTTCAAAACAAATTCAAGGATCCCAGAAACGAGCAAAACAGCCAAGAACTGGGGAATAGCTAGATGGCCTGCAGGCACAGGGCATTCCACAGTACACTAAAAAATACCACGATGCAATGCTTAACCTTTCTAGGTAGGCCTCAGTTGATTAACCAGGAAAATAGGGATAATAGGACTAACAGAAAGATTAAACGACATAATACATCTAAAGCATAAAGTTTAGTACTTGACTAAACAGTCAACAGTTTTAGTGATAATAATAAATAGTAAAATAGCTATCTTTCATTTATTTTTATAAAATATATTTTTATTGATTTCAGAGAGAAAGATAGAAACATCATCAATGAGAGAGGATCATGGGTCGGCTGCCTCCTGCACGCCCTGTACTGGGGATCGAGCCTGCAACCCAGGCATGTGCCCTGACTATAATCAAACCCAGGACCCTTCAGTCCGCAGGCTGAAGCTCTATCCATTGAGCCAAACCGGCCAGGGCTATCTTTTATTTATATAGTGTTTACATAATGAAAACTTACATTAATAATTTAATCTTATTAACAATTTGATTAACAATTTGAAAACTTACATTAATAATTTGATCTTATTAACAATTACAGAGACAGTCTCTTACAATATAAAATAAACATTTTAGGATTTTCGCCCATGAGGGTAAAAACTTTACCTTGCTCATCTCTGTGTCTTCTACACCAAGTGCCTGGCACACAGTCAGTACTTCATAAATGTTTTCACAAATTATACATAACTTATTTTTTGTATAAGCTTCATCTTTTAATTTTTATGTAATTTTATTTTAATTAATTTCTTTTTTGTTGGGGGGGGGAAAGAGAGAGAGAAACATTGATGTGACAGAGATACATTGATTGGTTGTCTCCCAAACAGGACCAGGGACTGAACCTGAAAACCAGGCACGTACCCCTAACCAGGAATAGAACCTGTGACCCTTCAGTTTGTGCAAGCAATGCTCCAACCACTGAGCACACTGGCCAGGGCTAATTTATTATTTTTAATAAAAGTTATTGATTAAATATAAAATAATTAGTCTTTATTGCTTTATACAGCTTTTCATATAATTACACTTACAACTTAGAAAAAAGATTATATCAGAGATTATCAGACATGGGTTATAATATTTGTATCAAAAATAGAACAAGAGTCCCCACTCTGCCTCAGTTTCCCTCTCCAGGAAACAGGTTATCTGAGGATCCAATAATACTTAAATGCTTGACCCCATCAGAAGCTGAATACCAGGAGACTAAAAGCTTATTGCTGGCAAGGGCTGCATTTTTTAACACCCTTTTGCATAATTCTCTCGTGTGAGCTCTCCCTTTTACATGTGTATTTCTTTAAAGAGCGTATTATTTACAAAGATGAAAGTGTCCACCGTGTCCATAGTGAATGCCCTGAAAAGAAGGACAGATGGAGATGCTCACCCTTTGCCTACCCCCCGCCCCACAAAATCATGGGTCTCCTCGAGCAACATCATCAGGAGAAGCCGAGAGCACTCGGTGGCAGGGCAATGGGGGAACTTAGCAAGGGGAGGAATGAGCAAGTCCACCTGAGCCCATGATGAAGCTCAGTCCTGAAAATAGGACAGTCGTTACGGGAAGTACACAGCCCCATCCAGGAAGCTACACTGACCATGAATCTAACCGAGTCTCAGAGCTGACTACCTGTACAGGAAACATGAGGAGCAGAGAAACAAGGACACCGCACAAACGTCACCACCGAAAGCTGGGCTGAGGGAGCCCATAGGAAGAATGACCCATTTTCTGCAGAAATGCAACGACACCCACAAGAAAAAGGGGGAGAGGCACAGTTTCTTAAGACTTTTCTTCAAAAGTCTTAAGAAACATAACCAAAGGCAAATATGGAGCTTGCCTGGATCGGTTTCAAACAAAACAACTTTTAGAAAGCAATTTTTGAGGGGGGTGGGAAAGGTCAAAGAGAGGTCAATGGGGGAAAAAGGTCAATAAAGAATTTTAAAAAGAAAACAAAAAGCGATTTTTGAGATGATTTGGGAATTCTAAATATAGAATGGGCATTAAATAAAATTCAAAAATTTAGAAAACTTTATATGGATGCAATAACATAATATCTGGAATTTACTTTAAAGTACACACACACACTAAGTTTTGGGGGTGCAGAGAAATAAGAAAAGCATCATGTTGATAACTGATGGGATGGACACACCAATGTTATTTATATTCTTTTCTTTACATTTGAAATTGTCCATAATAAAAAGGGCTTTTAAGAACTAGCCATGCCTACCCAGAGTGTGAAAGGGAGTGGGGGGATGGGGAGGACATCACCTGGTAGCCTCCTGTCAACCAACATCAAGTCAGAACCCACAACCTGGGCATGTGCCCTGACTGGGAACAAACTCACCACCTTTCTGTGGGTGGAATGACACTCCAAGCAGCTGAGCAAAACTGGCTTTTTTAATAAGTGATATCCTTCACATTTTTAGAAACCATTAACAAAAAGAACTTTCTAGCAAATTTCCTTTAAGCGCCTCCAGAGCCTCTTTCTACGGTGACATTCACCCAGGGAGCCCCAGAGGACGGCTGAGAAACGCATCTCAAGAAAACTGTGAGGAGATGAGAAACTGCCCCAAACTACCCAAACCACAACCAAGCTGCTTAAACTGACCTCTTTGTGGTGTCCGGAGCTCGGTGCCCAAAGGGGGCGGAGTTCAGGGAGCTCAGCAGAGAGACAAA